TTTTTTAGTAAATACAGTTTTACTCCCCAAAATCAGTAAAAGTTACTTGCTTTGCTTTTCTGCAGCATCTCACAGCTGGCAAGAGACTCATGTAGCCTCCCCATGTGGTCTCGTACGTATTCAGGTTGAACTCATCCAGCACATCCTCGGACATCATCAGTATGTAGGCCAGCAAGGAGCACATGGAAGATGAGAGGCTTCTTCCTGGAGATGATCTGAAGTATCTTTGGATTTCTGTATTAAATGAATTGTCTTTGAGCTCCAGTAAGCAGTAGAACATGTTGATTGAAGTTTCAGGTGAGATGTCCTGGCTTTTTAATTGTTCTGTAATGTACCGAGTTACTTCTGTGGCACTGTATCTGCTGTCTTCAGTGTGTGTGAACAGGCCTCTGAGCAGTTTCTGATTTGATTCCAGTGAAATGCCCAGCAGAAACCGTAAAAAGAGGTCTAAATGTCCTTTCTGACTCTGTACTGCAGCATCAACAACAGTTTTTAGTAAATCATGCAATGCAATATTTTTGTGGGTTCTTTCAGACTGAGGGAGAAACAGACAGTTGCAGCAGACAGTTTGCTCATTTTCTGTTTCTTCAATGAAAAACTGAAGTTCCTCCATGTTCTTGTTCAGGTAGCAGAGGAACACATGGACTGCAGCGAGGAACTCTTGAACACTCAGATGCACAAAGCAGAAAACCTTCATCTCGTGAAGTCCAGCTTCTTGCTGAAAGATCTCAGTCAGCATTCCTGTGGACTCAAAGTCTTCACTCACATCAATACCACATGCTTTCAGATCTTCCTCAGAGAACACAATATTTTCCTTCTTTAGTTCTTCGAACGCTAGCCTAGCTAACTTCAATATCATTGTTTTATTGGAATCTAAGAGCTTAGTACGTTCTCTTTCTGTTTTTCTGTCACACTTTTGGCTCTTCATGTTCATCTGTATCAGCAGGAAGTGGATGTACATTTCAGTGAGTGTTGTGTTGATGTCCTCTGCATTGTTTCCAGTGGAGAAGTGTTGAAGAACAGTGGCTGTGATCCAACAGAACACGGGAATGTAGCACATGATGTAGAGACTTCGAGATTTCTTAATGTGTGAGATGATTCTGGAGGCCTGAGTCTCATCTGTGATTCTTTTTCTGAAGTACTCCTCCTTCTGCTGGTCAGTGAATCCTCGCACCTCTGT